GCACAATAATAACTTGATTAGAAAAAAATAATAATGCTAACTAATATCAATTTTTATTTTTATTATACTATACATTTATAAATTATTTACTACATAGTTTAGTTAAAAGGTGTCTTTCATTAAAGTAAGTTAAAAAAATATTTTTATCAAAAAAGTCAATTTTTAAAAAGAATCAAAAACTTATAAACTGAAATATAGTGATAAAAACTACTGTACAATAGAACAATGAAGAACATTAAAAAATGAAATGCGAAGACGTAATGCCAAATACATGAATATTGATTGCTTAAGATATCTTTTATATTTGATATATTTATAATATAAAACTATTATTACAATGATTATCAAATATATTATAAAATTAATTGAACGTAGTTATCAAATATATTATAAAATATGTCAACTTTAAATTGCGCTATAAGAAATATTTGAACACAATAATAAATTCATTATAAAAAATAATAATGCTAAGTAATATTAATTTTTGTTATACTATAAATCTATAAATTATGTACTATAAAGTTTAAAAAATATTTTTATCAAAAAAGTCAATTTTTAACAAGAATCAAAAACTTATAAATTGAAATATAATGATAAAAACTACTCTATAATAGAACAATGATGAACATTAAAAAAATTAATTGCGAAGACATATTGCCAAATAAATGAATTTGATTGCTTAAAATATCTTTTACATTTGATATTTTTATAATAATAAAACTATAATTACAACGATTAGTAAAAGAGATAAAAATATAAGATATAGTAAAATTATAAGTATGAATAATGACAAATAAAATTCAGTTAACTAAAAACAATTGGATGTAGTAATCAAATATATTATAACATAAATCAACTTTGAACAAAGTTATAGAAAATATTTGAATACAATAATAAATTGATTAGAAAAAATAATAATGGTAACTAATATTAATTTTTATTTTTATTATATTATAAATTATGTACTGTATAGTTTAGTTAAAAGGTGCATTTCATTAAAGTAGAGTTTAAAAAATATTTTTATCAAAAAAGATAGTGTGTGCAACTAATATACATGAAAGTGTAAGGATTCACTCAAAATTTTTTTCTGACATCTTTTGACGATTGTGCAAGATTTAAACAATGTGAGTTTCAAATAATTTAGATAATTATATGTTGCTCTTTTTGAAAATATGCACTTTTCAATTAACATTAAGAGGTCATAATGTATATAAAAATATTTTTAAAGAAAATATATTAAAATTAAGTAAAAGTAACTAGCCATACTTTAAGAGTATTTATATGTATATAATTTGAAATTAGTAAAATATAAAAAATTAATTTAAACTAAAAATTTATCCTAAAACGACATTGTTTTATGAATGAGACTGTAACAAATTATTTTAGTTTTTAGTTAAGTATTCTGAACGATGATCTGGACTGACTATTAGGATTTTTTTACAGGCTTGATAAAATCATAGAGAATAACGTTACATTATATGACATAGTTAAAATTTTGTTCAAGTTTATATGTGTGTGTGTATGTGTATATATATATATATAACTAGATTGGACCCGGCTGTGCACGCACAGCCGGCCCTAGTCCAGACTATAATTATATCTAGTATTTGTAAAATTTTTAATACACACTTACATACATTTTATGGAGCAACCAAAATGACATATATTTTTTTGTTTGTTTAAAATATTTTTTACAAATAATTTTTTTTTTTTCAACAATTTTTTGACCACTCTTTTGACTCATTTGTTTGTAACATTTAAACAAATTTCTCAAAATAATTTATACTCTAAACCATTCTCATTCCTCAATTATTTATACTCTTTTCATAGCCGTCTCTAGTCCAATGTATAATTATAACTAATATTTAGGGAAATTTAAAAATACACATACGCACTTTTTATTAATACTGAAAATAGGTGGTTAAACGTTGCATTGTGTTACAACTGTTTTGTTGTTGAACCATTCTATGTTGATGCGAAAATGTATCAACTGTGGTAACTTGTGAAATAGATGGCTAATATAACATTATTCATCATTTGCTCCAAAACAAACCCAAAGAGTTGATCATCTGCATCTGACACACACAAATTTATTCTAAAAATACAGTGAAAATTTGTCATTAGTTATGATGATCAATCAAGTTCATGTCCAAATTATTTAATATCCTAAAAAATATTGGTAAATAATTATTTTTGCTACGAATGCATCTTTTTTTTTTTTTTTGGTTTTATAAATTATTTAAATACTTCACTTATATTAAAAACACCTAAAACTATTGGAGAGTTTTATTGTCCAAAGAATTGCAAATGTGGTAAAAGTTGTAATGTCTAACAACCTTGCTCATAAAGATGGTAGAATAAAAACATGATAATATAAGTATGAATTTATCATTTTATTCTTGGGCTTTTTTGTGGCACCATTACTCCAAACAAAAATTATAAGAGAGCCCAATAAAATGTCTACATGGCCCAATTTATGTAGTTCATTTTTTGCTTTACCCTTCAAAAAGCAATTATTGCCCTACCGAACGCAGTCCGTATTCAAACACATAGTTCAGACATTTAATGCCTAAGAAACATTGATGGTTCAGTGACTTTGGTATACAAACACACAGAGTTCTTCAAGATCACAAGTGTATTCGTACGACAAAAGTTTCAATTTTGGATACAATCAATTTCTGTTATCAGCATTCATGTATCGAAATGAAGCAGCAAAGATAGAACATCAAATTTGCACAACTCTACTGGTAAATTTGAAACACCTCAGAAATAAAATACTGTAAGTAGTGAAAATGGTGTATAAAAAGAAGGAAAACTCTTTAGCTTAAAAATTTCCTGCAAACTTGTTTGGTGGAGATTTGGATGTGCATAAAAGCAGCCCTTGTCGCCGTTGCTGCCACAACTTGGGTTTCCGCCACTTGAAATCTCAGTTGCCCATCGTCAAGAAAGAAAAAGGATGGCGACACGAACTCCTTGGTCATAGGGTTCAACTTCGAGTAACCACATCTGAAGAGGGAGGCAGTTCCTTAATAAAGTTTTGGGCCAATCAAGTTAAAATTTATTGTCAAAGGTAGTTGTTAATCAAGTTAAAATTTATTGTTAGTTAAATGTACATATTTTTTGTAATTAGTCTATCATTATGTTATATATTTTGTAAAATTGTTAACCTCACCTCACTGAGCAGAATATATATACATTATTGTTTGTAAGTATCAAGCAAACACTACAAAATACACTGCAAAAACAGTACTCAAATAGATGAAGCCAAATATACATTTTCTTAAAATGCAAAATCCAATTGATCAGTCATTGGATAGTGTGCAAAACATGAGATGATTTTAAAAGGTCAAAAACTAACCAGTCGATCATGGTCGCACATAATTTCTAGTTTATCACCGGTTGCAGTTCCATATAGGTGTGAGTCGGGCCCTCATTCTGCGCCAACAAGCAAGAAAAATAA